TCTCTTCTCTCTCTCTTCTCTCTCTTCTCTCTCTTCTCTCTCTCTTCTTTCTCTTCTCTTTCTCTCTTTCTCTCTTTCTCTCTTTCTCTCTTTCTCTCTCTCTCTTTCTCTCTCTCTCCATTATGTGACTGACATCAATACTGCTAATTACAGTAGGCCTACACTCATTACACAACAGGAGCTGCGGAGATGGTCGAGTACAACTGACTCTGGAAACACTCAGATTACTATTTATAATCTGTTTGATGTTACACACGCCACATCAAAACCAGGATTAGTCCACTTTCTATATATTTGCCCAGTTCTCAGCCCACATCACATGAAGCATAAATCATAAACATTAAAACAGGGCATTTAAAACAAACATTAGGATCACACAGAATTTTAATAACACAAGTTCAAATCATAAATACCCACAGTGCGTTGAAGAGGGTAAATAAACAATCCTTCAGTTGTAGCAGCGAAACAGATCTGTCTCAACTTGGATTTGAACATTTTCAGAGAAGAAGCCTGTCTCACATTTTCAGGAGGACTTTTCCAGATTTTAACTGCATCAATCTGTGACACTGCCTCCCCATGTTTAGGCCTGACTCTGGGACCAGCAGGAGGCCAGTCCCTGTGCTCCTCAGAGTCCCAGCAGGAGGCCTGTCCCTGTGCTCCTCAGAGTCCCAGCAGGAGGCCAGTCCCTGTGCTCCAACATACATACGCCATATCCATTTTAAATCCTCGGTCTTCTTGAGGTTTGTCACATTTTTCCCAGTTTTTCGTAGTAGTTCCTCGCTGATGCAGGAGGGTCTGAGGACAGTAATGATCCCGAACAGTGGTCATCTCGCTCCCTGTGCACCTACGGCTCTAATGTGTTTGTCATTAATGCATTTCCTGTTTGATTCTCTGATCTGTTGTTTGTGAATCTGCAACTTTGTAACATCCTCCGAGACGACTGCAGTGGTGATTTAAGACTATAGAAAAATACATTGACTGGAATAGTGTATGTATTTGTGTATTTGTCTGTGTATTTTCTCTCCATTCTCAAAGTGTGTGACTGCATCCTGTTGATCGTATTTCTTATGATATATTTAAATCCAGACTAAACGTTTCTGTTGAAGTTGTCAGACACAGACACATTACTGTATCTGCTCTGCACTCGCGGCAGCTGCAGGAGGAAAACCCCGGGTACTTTCTGCTCTGGATTTATAACTCTCACCGTCTTCTCTCGTAAACAGGGCTCGCTGAGAAACACACGACTGGAAGGAGAAGCTAAACTGAGATAAACTAGATCTTTAATAATCCCCTGTCAAAGAACCACCTGACCTCAGACCTTCATCATCCTCACTTGTAGTAGACGGGTGTGTTCTCAGTGAAGTTTCAGTGAATCTGGACTTTAAAAGGTTATAACTCAGAAACTAAAATGGTTATCATAGATTGGATAAAGGATTTCAAACACAGACATGTCAAAGAAATGTTGTGGATGAAATCAAAAGGAAAGATTTACATATACATTTTTGGTGAAATTTTAAAAACACCAGATCTGCCTTTGATTTGATAAATTTACTTTGACTCAGTGACATAGAAAATAAAAAGTCATCGGTGACAAAGCAGCAGACGAACTCCCGCGGATTTTGTTAACACAACATCTGGAAATCTTTTCATTTAGATTCAAAATAATAATCAAAACAAATTTAAATGACCTTTGAAAAATTTAACAGACGTGATTGTTTCTGTCAATTTTTTTCCATAAATTAAACTTGAGAAAAAAACAGTAAAAAAAAATATAGTCTCACATTTATTGGTTTACAACAGTATATGAAAGTAATCCCTTTGTTTCTACTCTGTGTAAAAAAATTTAAATAATAATTTACTAATCAAATGTGGATCTGAAAATATGTAACAAACTTCTGCATCAAAGGATCAGGTCCGAGACAGACAGAGACGCTGTAGAAAACTAGACTAATGTATGAATGGCCTTCTGTCACACTTTTGTCTCCTTTAGTGTGAACGAGCCCATCTCTCCAAAGATACACCACAGACTGCAGACACTTGTGAATACCTTTGTTTCTTTGTTTCTCCTGCACATTGTGGTAAACACTTTGGTCCCAAACATAAGAAGTTCAAATTTATGCTGCTGAAATCTGGAACAGTCTTCTCAAAAATGTGAGAGAAGCTTCTACTCTGACAATGTTCAAATCCAGGTTCTGATTCGCTGCATACAACTGGTGGATCTGTGGCCTTGTGTATGAACTGTGCTATACTGATAAACTTGCCTTCCTAATGCAACAGAGATTTGATGTCCTGTGTGCTCCTCATTGCTACTGTTCTGTAACTTTTGATGCAACACTGACATTTCCCCACAGTGGGATCAATAAAGGATCTCTTCATCCATCCATCCATTTTCTACCCTTTAATCCATTTCTGGGTCAGGGGGGTGGCAGTCAGAGATGCCACCCAAGTCTCATAGCACCAGCCCCTCACTGACCCTCTGCAGGTGGTGAGTCCACAGGAGGGCGGCTGCTCTCTGACTGTGAGCATAGCCTTGATCTTTCAGTGGGGGCTTTGGGCAAAGTGGGGTTAAGTGTCTTGCCCAAGGACACAACGACAGCAGTCATCAGTGGGAGTCGGTGGAGAAGGTGCAGAATCTCTTGGTGAAGGTGAAGGATCTCTTCATCTTAATCTTAATACTTGTTTCTTATTTTGAAAAACGAAAAACAAGTGATATTAAAGCTCACATTGAAACCAGAGAAGGTTCTGGGTTCGAATCCCGGTCGGAACAGGGCCTTTCTGAGTGGAGTTTGCCTGTTCTCCCCGTGTCTGCGTAGGTTTCCTCCGGGTACTCCGGTTTCCCCTACCACTAAAAACATGTGCAAGAGTTCAGAGTGAATGAGTGTGTGAGTGTGAATGTGGAACAACGTATGCAAATGAGCCCATGGCTACAATCCGGAGTGATGTGTTTATTGACATGTACTGTCCCAACCAAATAAACAATAAACAATAAACCTAATTGAATACATATATTAATATACTATATTGTTGTTATTGTTTTCATTTTCATGTCGTTTCACCAATCAGAAAGTCTGTGATCCGGGCACCAGAACTCACCGCGTGCAGCTCATCTCACTGGTAAAGTACCATGTGACGCAGAACTCAAAAAGGTCTCGTTACGATTCTGAAAACATTAACGACAAAACAAGGAATAAAAACGAGGATTTCTATCTTTGTGAAAAAGGTGTTGGTTATAGATTTGTTGTTGACCAAAATCTTGTCTATTCAGCTGTTATGGTCCCAGCTGGATTTGTCTCCATATCTGGCAACCTGAGTAAGGGACGCCAGATTTTTACATACTGTTCCTTTAATATGGCATATTTTTACGGTCTTAGAGAAAAGTTGTCGTATGCCATAAAAAGTGCAGTTACATTAAGACACGGGATGGCAAAGTCTCTCCTCGACATTTGCATATTGTTTGTGTAAGAAGTGCATTAGCGTGAGTCATGACTCTTACTCTGCTCCGTCTGAACTGTGTGTCTGCATTACTCCTACTCTGAATATACATTTAGTATTATGATGCATGGAAGGTGTAGGCGATTATACATATTTTATTTATTTACTCCTCCTCTTTTTGAGCTCTATACTGAACATAACAAACCTTGACGTCTAATTCATTGTGTGTGTATCGCTCTGGGCTCAAATCAACAATCTGAACTGAACTGATTATTGGTTTTGAGTTTCAACATTGAGTTTGATTTACATGAAGATGAAGATGAAGATGAAGAGAGCCTTTATTTGTCCCACGGTGAGGAAATGTCAGTGTTGCATCATCAGGAATGAGGAGCACACAAAACACTTTATGTGAACAATAACTCCAGACAAAAATACAATAAAATTTATAACTTTAGCATAATAAGGAAGCAAGTATACCTCTTAAACCAGGAAAGCATTATGTCAGAATACATTAAAAATTGTAAATAAGTATACAATGTAAGTATAAAATAAAAAAATAAATATTTAGATAACTAATACATATTAATCATGTATATGTGTTCACTTGCAGATGTGTGTACATGTGTTAATATATGTTTATATGTGTATGTATGTAGATGTGTTTATGTATATGGATGTATGTATAGATAATGGTTGTACATGTAGAAATGTATGTGTGCATATGTGTGTATGTATAGTCAAAATAAAACATTTTATTCATTCAAGTATAGACCTCTAACTTTCGAGACTTCTTTTACTTGCTTCTTTATCATTCTAAAGCCAGAGATTTATACATGTTTCTTTATTATGCTAATTAGAGATGTTCTGTTTGCTTCCTTGTTATACTTACCGCTAGAAATGTTGTACTTGCCTCTTTAAGTTAGCCTTTTTTATATTTAGAGTTGTTGTTTATCTATCTTTTGCTGTGTGCCCCTCATTCCTACTGCTCTGTAACTTGTGATGCAACACTGAAATTCACAGGATCTCAGACAAGACGATTCTCCAGAGGCCCCAAGCTGAGGCCTGACTTCACAATCTCCCTCTTATCTGTCACCTCAAAGCACCACAATGAACCCAGTGACTCTCTCCTCGTACTTACATCCTATTTCCATCCCATTAAAATGCGTGAGGTGCCTATAGCCTGCAAGCATGTGTTCACAGCCCCAGACCAGAGACCCAGACCAGGACCAGGACCCATTCCTCCACTGCCCCTGCTAACCCCGCCTCCCGCGCTCTCCCATTGGCCTCCTCGTCCTCGCTCCTCTAACAGCTGTTCAGTGTTTTCCCACACCGCCATTGGCCCGCTCTCCACGTCCATCAATTTTACTTTGACACGTTGCCCCGCCCCTGTCTGCGTTACGCGTCTTCCCATTGGCTACTGTACGGCTCCGCGCGCGCTGATTGGCCACGCGGGCTGGTTGTCAAGGCTTCGGGGGCTTCATTCACCATTTTGCGACTGTAGTGTAGAATGAACAGGGCAGTAGTTTTCCTCCTTTTAAGTTGCTTTGCTGGAGAAACATGATCAGACGCTAGTTGGCAGCTGCGTGCGGCTGGTCCCTGTTCCACGTCAAATCCCGCGGGGTCATCCAAGCGGCCATCCGAGCGCGCTCTGGTGAGTACGAGAGCCAAACGAGACCAAACATCTTTTTGCTCTTCTGCAGCACTGCGGCTTGTTGTGCTGTGGCTGAAGCCGCGATGCTAATACATGTTTACCGAGCTCCTAAACAGCGTCTGCGCGTTTTGGACCCACGTACCCGCGACTAGGACCGGACTGAAGCGAGAACCACAGCCTGGACTCGGTATCATCTGCGTGGAAGGGAGCGGTACGGCTAGACACTGCGCGTACGAAACTTTTCCACTAAGAAATATATTCAACGCCATCACAGCCGTCGGGACTTCCTACAACAACTGCTGCGTCTCTCTGTGTGCGTAATGCCACCAACAAGCAAAACTCCCGAATGTGGCTACGCTTGCATGTTATATCCTCATTCTGCGTCCGTAAACGTTGTTGAATATTCATGTTTCTGATGGCTTCAAGGCCTACTAGTCCACACGGGCACCTTACGACTCTCTCACACCGCTATATGCGCGTCTAAACCTCGCCAATCTACTCTTGCCTGGTCGTAAAGTTACCCTCAAGGCTCGGACTACCCCTCTACGCGACTGTCACTTTCGGATGGGCTTGGTACGTCGCGTTAGAGGACTTTGAAAAGGTGTTCGCGAAGTGGATCGGACAAAGTTATACCCTGAGCTTTTCCCAGAGGATAGACCCAGCATTACGCGGCATTAGGGGTCAGCGTGGGTCTTTCTTAAGTGGTTATTTAGAAGGATTGCTTATAAGCGGCCTGGGTGCGTGCGCTATGGTGCTGTCCCGGGGCCTGGATGGTCCTGACACGCCACGGCCTGCGTTGTGCGTGCGTAAAACGGGTTGTAATCGTGGTACTACGGCTACACACACACTCACACACGCTGACGTACACGCACATACACACACGCAGCAGCAGCAAAAGTAGGTGACGACATCAGAGCTCGTGGTGTGCAATAGAGGTCCAGGCCTGTGTGAGATAAGTGAAGAGCCTCTACAATCTACAATCAGCTGTTTATTTCTTACAACCTGATCTGCCCCATGTGAAAGAGTCGCTCAGTTACGGTGAACTTAGTAAATCTGTTCAATGGGCTTCTCTGTGCTATAGGGACAGGGCTGTTTTATGCACTGATGTACCTTATGTGTTATTACTAATGCTTGAGTGTGTAGCAAGCTATTGATGTGGAATAAGGTATAGACTGTTATAACTGTGGATTAGGGTTATGTAGCTCTAGTCCAGGGATCAGTAACCTATGGCTCGAGGGCCAGATGTGGGTCTTTTAAGTAGCAATATGTAAGATTTTCATGTCAAGTCATCATTAAAGGGCCCTCATCTGTCAAAAGGCATTAACAAAAACATTCTCTTTTCAAATACTTATTGAACTGATAACAGTAGTTCAGATTTATTATAATTTCACAATTAGTTTTACAGCCCCCAAATCTTGTTATTGTTTTCATTTCGATGTCCCTCCCTCCAGTTTTACCAATCAGAAAGTCCGTGATCCGGGTTGCCAGATCTCACCGCGTGGAGCTAATCTCACCGGTAAAGTACCATGTGGCTGCAGAACTAAAAAAGGTCTTGTTTTGATTCTCAAACGACAGAACAAGTAATAAAACCAGGATTTCTATCGGACCTTTGTGTAAAAACAGTGTTGGTTATAGATTTGTTGTTGACAATACTCTTGTCTATTCAGCGATTATGGTCCCAGCTGGATTCATCTGCATATCTGGCAACCTGAGTCAGCTAGAGTAGGAAAAGACTACAGAATATGGACATGGACTGACATGGACTGACATGGACTGACATGGACTGACATGGACTGACATGGACTGGCTGGACTTACATGGACTGACATGAACTGGCTGGACTTACATGGACTGACATGGACTGACATGGACTGACATGGACTGGCTGGACTTACATGGACTGACATGAACTGGCTGGACTTACATGGACTGACATGGACTGACATAGACTGACATAGACTGACATGGACTGACATGGACTGACATAGACTGACATAGACTGACATGGACTGACATAGACTGACATAGACTGGCATGGACTGGCATGGACTGGCATGGACTGACATGGACTGACATGGACTGACATGGACTGACATGGACTGGCTGGACTGACATGGACTGACATGGACTGGCATGGACTGACATGGACTGACATGGACTGACATGGACTGACATGGACTGGCTGGACTGACATGGACTGACATGGACTGACATGGACTGACATGGACTGACATGGACTGGCTGGACTTACATGGACTGACATGGACTGGCTGGACTTACATGGACTGACATAGACTGACATGGACTGACATGGACTGGCTGGACTTACATGGACTGACATAGACTGACATGGACTGACATGGACTGACATACTGACTGGACTGACATGGACTGACATGGACTGACATAGACTGACATAGACTGACATAGACTGACATAGACTGACATAGACTGACATAGACTGACATAGACTGACATGGACTGACATGGACTGACATGGACTGACATGGACTGACATGGGTGGGCCTTCCCTGAGGTTTCTCACTTTTCTCCCGCTGGGTTTTTAGAGTGTTTTCTCGCAGATGCAGGAGGCTCTAAGGACAGCGATGATCCAGTACACTTGACACTCAACGACACCATTAACATTTTGCACTGTGGTCATTCCAATGTTTTTTTTTATTCATCATGACATTTCCTGTGTTTTAAATGTTTGATTCTCTGATCTGTGTCGGCCAATCGACAGCTTTGTAAAGTCCTTCGAGATACAGTAACTGCTGCTGTGACTTAGGGCTATACAAACAAACATTGAATTGACACAGTAATTTATCACATTTTTACAGAGCTTTTTGAGGCATTCAAAGCACTTCACACAAGAATCACCCAACCACCCATTCTCACACACATTCAATCCAATTTATTCGTGTACAACCTAAAATCACAACTGTTTGAACGCAGGAATAGGAGTCATAGCGGGAGAGGGATGACCATAAATGTCCATATACATATGTCCTGAATCATCACTGTCCTTAGACTCTCCTGCAGAGACACGGGTAGAACACGCAAACTTGACTCCGAAAGGCCCTGTCTGGAGGTGGAACTGAACCCAGGACCTTGTTGCTGTGAAGCAAGAATGCTAACCAGGCGTCAGTGATGTTAATGAACATAACCGAGGGATGAGTCACATTTCTTGCTATACTTCTAACAGCTTTAACACATTATTATTACTTTCTATTTAGTCGTTTGATCCATTTGTTACTACGACTGGTTCTAGATCTAGATTCAGTTTCGGCATCAACAAATCCGTCTTCTATCGTTCAAAGCGCCATAACCATACTCCCGTCCTCAGATTGAATATTAAAGGTCCTCATATCTAGTGTCGGTGCATAACTTAAAGTCCAGCTCCATACCACGTTCGTGTTGGCGACTTCTTCCTACAGAGGAGCAGAGCCGTTCTCTTTTGTGGAGGATGGATGTACAAAAAGAAAAAAAGGAAAACAAGACTCAAATGGTTTTGTACCAAGAACAGAACGTCGTCCAAACACACAAATGCTGAGCGTGAGATTTGCTTTTGACCCTTTGTACGGAGCAATTTGAACAACATAGAAGAGAGATGTTCCAGTATTTCTGTAGTAATACGCAATACATTCAAGTATGCCGTTTCTCAAAGCCTTAAAGAGACCGTCTATAATCATTTCATTTTAAAGGACATGGCGATGCAAGGTTATTTGTGTAGCACAGTTTGAAAACGAGGTAAAACAAGCTTAAAAAGCATTAGAATTAGGGATTAAAATCTAAAATGAAAATAATAAACAGTACATTGTAGCACAGATAAACAGAACTGATTTAAACATTGTCAGAGTAGACGCCTGGCTCACTTTTTCAGGAAGACAGATTTTAGCTGCATGAATCTGAAACGCTGCCTCCCCATGTTTACTGGATAATTACGTGGATAACAGGTCATTATGTACACACCATATTTGTCCTTCTCCGAACAAAAGCGGAGTTTATTTGGTTAATATTTGTCAAAGGTTTCCAAGCAGATGATCCAATCAGAGAGCAGAATGAGGCGCTTGTTCTCATTGGGCGGCAGTAGCTCAGTTTGTAGAGCGAGTGTAAGAAAGGAAGAAATGCGGAAAATACTTCCAAGGCATTGTTTTTAGCACAAAACATACATTTAATAATATAATGTATATGTTTTGGTCACACTTTAGTTTAGCCCTCACTAATAAACAGTTAATTAAGTGTATAATTAATGGATAGGTAACTAATTGTGCTCATGGGTGCATGTGCCACCATGAAAGATTAGCAGAACTCGTCCATATTTGGGCATTGTCTGGTCCTACCAGTTCTGCGCAGTGAAGGAGCTCCCATGATGCTTTGCGCCAAATACACGTACGTGCGTGGCTTTCATGCCCATGCACAGTGGGGCTAGACCACGCTTTGACTAATCAGAGCTGCTGATCAGAGTGGAGCTAAAGCGGAGCCAGAGTGGGAAGAAAACGAGCATAGTTTGTGGCACTAGCTGTAGGTTCTCTGTCAGGTTCTCTGTCAGGTTCTCTGTCAGCTGAGGTCGAGCTGTTTTAGTTTACATTGAGTTCTGTGGGACTTTTTTCTGGGTGGCCCACGTGAATTTAGTCTGCAGTACCACGGGCGCCCCCTGTGCCCGTTAGGGTTAGGGTGCACAAGTTAGGACTTAGTTAGCTGTAAATTAGTGAGGGCTAATCTAAAGTGTTACCATCTTGTGGACATTTTTTTATGTGTTCACAAGAAGATCCTGGGTTCGATTCCACCTCCAGTCCTTTCTGTGTCGAGTTTCCATATTCTCCACATACTCTGTGTAGGTTTGCTTCCGTCATCACCGTTTGGAGAGAATGAAACAATATCTGAACTCTGAACATTGTAATGCGCTTTGGGTGACCTTGGTCTGTAAAATGCGCTATATAAGAAAAGCTGCGGTCATACACAGACCCATAGACGCTACATTCAAGTAAATAGGATATAGATTGACATTTCCTTATAGTGTTGCACGGTTTGGCCTCTCAGTCATTTTAAGGGCATTCATTTTCTTTCATTGAGTGCTGGAGCGTGTGTATGCGGCTCTGATATTTATGCATGAGGCCTGTTTTATTGACACAAGCCTGGACCTGTCATTTATATCACCTCTGTTCAATCTAAATAAGGTGATGTGATTTGT